AGCCCCTTTGGTCCCACAATCCTACAATTTAGAGGCTATCTGTTCCCCAAATACAGACTGGCACATAGTAGGTACTCAATAAATGTCCCTTTAGAAATGAATTCCAGTTTCTTTGCCTAACGTCACAGCATTTAAAGGAGAGCTGGATGTGACCACAGGCACCCTCCAGAGCAGTGTTTTAACCACTCCGCTAACCTAAACTGCCTCTGGGCTCTCCTTTTTCAGAACCCATTCTCCATCTGGAGGCTCTATGATACAGGGTGTCAAAATCTTTCCCACCTCAGACAGCGCACCCGCACCACCGCCCCCAGGTGTCTCCACTCTGATTCCATGCATTCACTCCTTTGCTGCTGCAATGGGCACCCCCTGACTGGTTTAGTCCCAGCCAATTCCTGCAGGTTAAACTCACAGGCTCTACCTCACACCCTCTCACCTGAAAAGTTAACCCTCCAACTGCCAGTAACTCAGTCCCCGGGCCCTCCACCCCTGGCCTCACCTTCTCCTGGTCCCCTTTCTTGTCTTTCTAACCCTTTCTTGAATATGAGTCTCTCTGGCTGGGCCCCGGGCTTCTCCCTCTTCACCACAGCAATACCCCTCTCCCCTGCCCTGGCCCCCCACCTCAGTTCTCTCTGCAGTCATGCCCACATCTGTCTCAGCCTCCCCTGGCATGTCTGAGAGGACCCACACTGGCCTCTACATCATCCTTCAAACCTCCCATCCACTGTCCCATTAGTGGGTTCCTTCTCCCTAGGAAATGTGGGGAGCCCTCGGGGAGCTTACAAGCCTCCAACTACTTGTGTTTCCCTGGACTCCTTCACTCCGTCCTCACCTGTCATCTCCCCCAACCCACCACCTGGAAAAAACCAACACTGCCCATTGGTTACTACCACCTCTACTCTGCTAACCATTCTCCTCCAAGCCCCACCAGCCCTGTCCTGGCCTTTTGGCCTCTGTTTTCCCACCCAGTGGCCATAGTGATCTTCTTAAAGCCAAATGTGACCCTGTCCTCCCCCTACCTAGAATTCTCCAAGGTTCCCCACTGCCCATGGTCAATTCCCCAGCCCAGCCCTCAGAGCCTTCTGGGATCCTGCCCCTGCTGACTTCTGTTATCTCGTAAGCCCCACTGAACTTGTTCTAACCAGTTATGTTTTACTGGAAAGGCCAGGCCGTCTCTATAACCTCAAGGCTTTTATACAGGCTTTGACACCTGCTTTTCTCCTCTTTGCCCCACTGACTCATCCTTCAGGCCTCAGCCCACGCCTCCTCTTCCAGGGAGCCCAGCCTGCCGCCAAGGCTGGGTAAGGTGGCTCCCCTGGGCCCGCCAGCCCCTTGTTTCCCCATTACAGCCCTAATCATTGTAGTGTAGCTCATCAGCCCTACCACTCGTCACCCATTACAGCCCTGATCCCTCTGGCCTATCTCCCCTCCTCAGCCCCAACCACTCTGGTCCGTTTGTCTGAGCCCCATGAAAGCTGGGATTAGTTCAGACAGTTGGCCGCTAGCAGGGCACACTGAATCTGAGTCCCTGTTCAGCAAATAGTTGTCAAATAATTTCTGCAAACTTGACTTGTCCCACTGTGTGTTAAGGGCTAGGTGATGCATGGGATGGAGGTGTGGGTGAAAATGACTCCATTATATATATCCACCCACCTGGGCTGGGGGGAGTGCCTGGTCTACTCCTTTTTCAATTCAAAGCAGGGTGACCAATCAATCACTTGCTCCTCCACTCTTCCCCTAAGACATCTGTGGAACTTGTATTCACTGGGGGAAAGGAGAAAGTGGGGCTAGATGGTGGTTGTCTCATCAGAGGATAAATGCTCCCTTAGAAAACACCAAGACTGTCATAGCAGAGCTGTGCTCTGTGCTTTCCTAGGCCCAGGGTTAAAGAACACTATGGCAGCACCTTGACAGTCTAGTGGGGAGAGGGAGCAATTGCCCTACCCCATGCCCTGGGGATGCCACTGGGAACACCAGGGCTGGGGAGCACTTTCCTGAGTGGGCAGGCTTTGCATCAAGCTGGAGCTTAAGCATGATATTCAAAGCCCTGGTTTGACCTCCCTCTCAGGGAGGCAGGGGGAATGGGGAAGGGAGCTGGCCCCACTGGACCAAGGAAGGGCTGGGGTGGGGAGGGTGGCATCCAGGAAGAATCCAAATTGTGGGGCTTAAATGCTCTATTTGGCTACAGCTGTCTCTGAACTCCACCCTGAGAAGACTCAGGCCAGGGTTTGATCTGAAGGCCACAGAGCTGAGTCAAAGCAGTGAGGAGCTCAGAATCACAAAAGTCTGCCCCAAGGATACAGTGATTGGACTATTCATTCTGCAGCAGAGGTCCCTCGATGGCTGTAAGCAGGAAAGGTGAACTAGTAGGACTGGGGTTTTGGATAGATCTCCTTGGCTGACATATAATAGGTGGATCAATGGAGAAGATTAGGGCCAGGCATCTAGGAGGTGACCAGCCAGGGAAGGGCCTTTGTGCGAGAGGGCCAGGTTAAGGCTGTGAGGAGTCCCCAAGAACCCTCTCTTGGGTTCTAGCTCCTCTCTATCACTTGCTCTCTGAGGGCCCTGGTCTCTGCCACTGCTTAAAGATTATCTACTTCAAGCCCTCAATATACCCTGAGAAAACAAGAAGATGAGGATCTGCTCCAGGAACACAGGCCAAATCAGGGCCAGCTAGTTTCCCAGCTTGTCTAGCTGGCTCTGGGACACAGGTGAGCGTGGTATTGGTAGGTAGTTCCGGAGAGAGAGAGAAGCGGAAACAACTTTCCAAATACTGTTTACTTCACTAAAACCTGGAGACAAGGGAAAGGTATGTGAATGTCTGGGACACCAAGCCTAGGAGTGCACGTTGACAACAGCGACATACAAAGCCAGGGTGCTGAGGGCCAGCAGCCCTGTCACCACTGCTCGGGCCAGCAGTGCCGTCCAGCTGCCCAGGGAACAAAGGTGGACGAAGGTCCTGTGGGGAAACGTTACAGTGAGAAAAGGAGAACAGATAACCCACCCCCCTTTGGACCAAACCTTAAACCCCACCCAGCTCACTCCATGACAAAGGCCTTATAGATGCTAAGGAACATCAGCAGGAGGACTGCAGGTCGGAAAGTGTGGTACAGGTCGTAGCGTGTTATCATCCACACCTGGGCAGACGCGACGATGTAATGGACCTGAAGGGAGGCAGGCAGTCAGGGCCAGGCCTTGGGGAGCAGTACCGCCACCAGCGAAAAAAGTGTGTATGGTTAAGTAGGAATGCATACCAGACTGATGTTGGAGTCAATGCTCATTTGGATGTATTTCCAGTCAAACTCAATGCCCCGGGCTCCAACCCAAAGAGGGATGCAACTGAAGAAGGCAAAGGGAGGTATTCTCCAACACCTAGAAACCCTCAGCACCCGGAGTCTGAGCCCCCACCCTCCAGAACCTCCCTGAAACCCAGGTGTCCTTTCTTAGGAATCTGGGCTCCAGGCTGCTGCACACACCGGGACATAATGAGCTCGGCTGTGGCCCAGCCCAGGGCAGCAACCATGATCTTGTACTCCCCTTTGCCGGCATTCCGGGACATGACAAGGTTTAGGCCTATCAGGTCGGCCACATCCACGCTGGCCTTCATGAACTCCTGTGGGTCAGGGTGAGGCGTGAGTAAGCACGGGTGCCAGGGGGCCCCCGCTCCTGCACTCCCTCCCTCCTCCCTTGCCCCGCTTACCCCAATGAAGTCATAGATGCCGCCTTCCCAAGTGGGAAAGAAAGTGGCCAGGAACAACATCTGAGAACAGAAAACAGAGAGGTCGCCTCAAGGTGAGGGGGATATACTCTATGTGGGTTTTGTGGGAAGTTAGTGTCTCCGTGGAGGGCAGGACATTGGGATTCTGGGGGTAGGAGGGGAGGAAAGGGGGGCTCATGTGGAAAGGGACCACCAGATGGGAACAAGAATACAGGACCAGGGGAGGCAGAGGGTAGGTGGCAGGAAGCTTTTCTGTGGTGATTACTGGGGATCAGGGTCAGCCCTGGAGGTGCCTGGCCTGGCTGCCCAGACAGCGTGAGCAGCACCAAGGTGTATGTGTGAGTTTGTGTGTGGGGGCGGGGAGTGTGGAGTGTGTGTGTGGGGTAGCAGCTCTTAGCCATTCAAAACCCTTCTGAACCATACAACTGATTTTTTCAACTTTACTAAAAGCGCTACGCAAAAGTTGCTTGGAGACCTCGCCTCAGGTTCCACCCTTCCAAAGTCCGTCTTCTACGTGTATTCTGGAGCTTCCCTACGCCAGTGTTGAGAACGGTCCCACACCGGGGGATCTGGACGGAGAGGCGTCCTGGGTCTGGCGAGCCTGGGAGCCAGACGTGCGGCTCCGGGCGTCCTCACCTTACACAGCTGCACGAAGAGGTAGGTGACCCCAGCCTGGACGCACTTCCAGAAAGCATTGTATTCGGACCTGCGGGAGCAAGCGGTAAGTGCTCGTCCGGGCCCGCGCCCCCAAGCCGCCCCGCAGCCGCCCCGCACTCACAGGCCGCTGCACTTGTAGGTGATGAAGTACGGGAAGTAGGCCAGGGCAAAGCAGTTCCCGAAATGAAACAGGGTCATGGCGCCGGCCCCCGGAGCGCGGGACTGTACCTTGCCGGCCTGGCGCCCAGGCGTGGGGGCCCAGCCTCCGCCACGGCCCGCTCGGCCTTCTGGGAGTGGAGTCCGCGGCGCCGGCGCACTGACGTCACGGCTGAGCGCGGCCGCCGGAGCCTGCGCTGGCCGGTTATCCCGCAGGAAGCCGGCGCGGAGCCTAGGCGCCGGGCCTGTGGGTGCAGGTCGCGGGAAGAAATATGGGACCGGCCTCGAACGCCGACTGACCCCGCTGTGAACGGCGCAGAGACAAGGGGTGCGGACACGGGGCGCAGCTGTGAGCACGCGGGATTTTTATTTCATTGATGGATCAGCAGCGCGGATCCATTGCGCAGGGCGTCCTTCCCTGGGGAGCCGAGAACCCGAACGAGAAGTAGAGGTTCTGGTCCGTGAACACGGGGAAGCTGAGGGGCTGTCTTGCTTCAGTGGTCTTGGCTGAACATGTAGCAGAGGAGGTCCACTACCCGGTGACTGTAGCCGTATTCGTTGTCGTACCTAGGGAGGGGGTAAGAATGATCAGGAGATCCCCCCCCTCCCCGATCACCCCCAGTTGTCCCCCACGTTCTCTGACCCCTTCCTCCTTACCAGGAAATGAGCTTCACGAAGTTGTCGTTGAGAGCGATGCTGGCTTTAGCATCGAAGACGGATGAGTGGGTATTAGTGAGAAAGTCCGTGGAGACAACCTAGGTGTCAGAATTTCGAAGGTGAGTGTGGGTCGCAGAGCAGGGACCTCCAAGAGCTCAGGCTCTTACTCTTAGGCATATTGGCCATCTATTCATCTACAGTATTGGATGGAGCCCTACTGTGTCCAGGCTCTGGGGACGAGGTGTGAGGGAGGCACCTGGGGGCTTTGCTGGTGAGGGAGTGGCCAAAGGACCCAGGCCTTTGCTGCACCAATAAATATCATTTTCTGGGAGTAATGCAGGCACTTGGAATGGCTGGCACAGAGGCCCCTGAGGGGAGGCTGGATCTGGATGACTTAGGAGGGTCTGGCCAACTCAGGCCCTCAGCAGTATCTGAGGCGGAAGGGGCGGCAGCACAGGGAGGGGCCCTGAGGATTTTGACCCTGGTGTGGTGGAAGGCCACAGGAAGGTTTTCAGTAGTGGGGATGATGCGATCTGATTTTGTTAAAACAAGAGGACCAGCAGTGACTATGAGATGAAATTTCAGGTGAGGAAAAGGGCGACAAAAACATCTTGCTGAGGAGGGAGACAGGAGTAGAGACTTGGAGGAGGTGAGGACAGACTATATGGCTACCTGGGGGAAAAGCTTTCCAGACCAAAGGAGCAGGAAGTGCAAAGATTCTGATGCAGGGAGTTCTGACCTTCCCCAGCCCTGCAGTTCCTATCTTGATACACTGCAAGCAGCTCCTTGGCAAGTGGGAAGTCACGCTCCCTTCCCAGAGTGCTCCTCCCAGAGTTCCCTCTCCTTTGTCCCTACCTCATCCTCAGTGTAGGCAAGGATGCCAGCCATGGGCCCGTTGGCTGCTGCTTTTATGGCGTCCTTGATGGCTGAGTATGGGGTAGGGTGGGCCAGGCGGCAGGTCAGGTCCACAACAGACACGTCTGGTGTTGGCACCCGGAATGCCATTCCCGTCAGCTTCCTGGAGAATCCCACATTGGGGCAGGAGTCAGAACCCAGGGACCTCTCCGTCCATCCCCCTTCACTTCCACTTTCTCCTCAACAGACACCTCAAGGATTGGGGGCCAGTCTGGTCCTCCTGGAGTGTGCCCCCCACCCTGGTTGCAGCTTCCTGCCCTTATACCCTTTGAGGTCTGGGATGACTTTGCCCACGGCCTTGGCAGCTCCTGTGGAGGCTGGGATGATGTTCTGATGGGCTCCCCGTCCATCTCGCCAGGCCTTGTGTGATGGCCCGTCCACTGTCTTCTGGGTGGCAGTGTAGGAATGGACTGTGGTCTTGGGGAAAAAGGGGGCTGAGGTGAGGCTTTCCCGCTGGTAAGCTCCCATGCCTCTTTTCCCCAGGCCTGGGGTGGTGAGCCAGGTGTGGAGGCTGGCGGGGCCACCACCTCAGACCACAGGAGGGCACCTGCAGGCCAGGCTCCAGCCTTGCCTGAGAGTTGCACAGTATTTTAAAAGACTTCATCACTAGTGGGCCTCTTCTCCCGAAACCAGTCTCTTCCTGTTAACTCCACACGCTAAGCAAGTCCTGGGAGGAAGAGGTAGAGTTTCCCTGCCATCCATCCTGGCCCAGCCCTCTCCCAACTCACCATCAGTCCTTCCACAATCCCAAATTGCTCGTGGATGACCTTGGCGAGGGGGGCCAGGCAGTTGGTGGTGCAGGATGCATTGCTGAAACAGCCCAATATGGAAGGGCACTGTGAGGTAAGTTGCAGAGCCACCCCTCCACCTCACTTTGGGGGTATGCTAATAGGCCTGGTTTTGTGAAGTCCGGATGGGGATGAGAGGGATCACTGGGGATGTCTTCAGACTGAAGGAGGCACCAGAGGTGCAGGTGGGGGGAGCTTCTCAAGCACGTTCTCTAGAAGTCGTGCATGTCTAACAGTTTTAAAGTAATGTTAACATGGTGCTATTAAGACTGGGAAGGAGAAGCAGATTGATATGGAAGAAGCACCAAGGGTCTAGTGGGAGTGGGAGTGGGGCTGGGGGAGTCTGATCCCTCTGCATCACAGGCTACCACGTCCTCTTGGTTCCACACACTTCAGGATGTTGCTGCCCGTTACCTGACAATTTTCATGGAGTCAGGGTTATAGTCCTTTTCGTTCACCCCCATGACAAACATGGGTGCATCTGGTGAGGGTGCGCAGATGACCACACGTAGGGCACCTGCCTCGATGTGTTTCTAGGGAAGGAGGAAACAGCACTGGTGTCATGAACTCATGAGGTGCTTCGAGTTCCACATCCCCCAGCCAGCCCTAGGCACCTCCCCCACTTACGGAAGTTTCCTCTAAGGACAGGTACACTCCTGTGGACTCCACCACAAAGGGGCTCCCGACAGACTTCCAGGGGATATCTCTGGGCTGCTTGCTGTGGAGGGGTGGCAGCACTGTGTCAGTCTCCTCTTGCATGGCCATAGTCCATAGACACCTTCCTGCTACCATCTGTTCTCTCCACCCCACACATCTAGCTGACCCAGATGGATTCAACCCTGCTGGTCTTGCCTCTCATCCCATGCCCCCTTTGGGGGCCACTTTTCTTGACTGCACCACCCCTGCTATGTCTGGGTGTGTACAAGCTGCTGCCTCCCCAACTCAGGCCTCACTCCCCACCCCTCCTCGCCCCCAGTGGACCATCCCTGACTACTTCCAAGCAGGTCAGGCCCTTTCTACATATGCTGTTTAGAAGGTGGACCCTGGGAGGGTGAGGGCTATCTCGTTGCTGCCGGTCCCCTGCCCTGGCAACCTTAACACAGCTCTCCATGCCCTTCTTGTCTTTACCACTCAGCTCCTGCACCAGGGAGCCTATTGCCAGAAGCTGGGCAAGTCCCTGAAGACAGGCACTACTGAGCAGTGGGGGTGGAGGGTGGGGGGGTGTAACTGAAGCCTAAGGCCACCCTGGGGTCATCAGTGGCCAGTAGTTTACATCAGAAAGGTAAGGAGCTTTTCTGTTTCCAATTCTGTATGTTTACTTGAAGTTTTATCAAATGTTTGTATTTGAAACATATTAAACATCTATTATTGCTGTTTTCTACTTGGCTAGTCTTTTCCCTCAAAGGGTTTATCCACGACTGCAGTATTTGCTTTTGTGATGATTTGTTAGCGTCTATCTTTCTTCTAGACCACTCTGTGGCAGCAGGGCTGTTTCCTTTATTATTAAGTCTGATCTCCTCAGAGGGGTTCAGTCAATGTTTGTGGGTTTTTATTTTTTATTTTTTGAATTTTTATAAGAGTTTATTTGAGCCAAATTGATGACATTGCCGGGAAGCAAGATCTCAAATGCTCCCTGGGGTTATTTTTTATTAGCCGTCTTACACATGTTTACTGAACACCTGCCATGTGCCCGTTTTCTAAGTGTTTTATCTGTACTGAACGCTCTTAACCCTCACGACCTGAGGAAGAACTGTGACTATTGACATTCTTCAGAGGAGCCAGTGCCAGGGCAGAGGTGAAGGGGCAGGAGGCAGAGCTGGCTGAGAGCACAGGCAGGCTGGCCTTAGGATCTGTACTGGCTACCTTGCCAGAGTGAGTGAATGAATGAGTTGCTTCTCTTCTCCCTGGGCCACCACACACGGTTCTCTCTCCCTGGTCATCTGCTCTATCAGGCCACACTTTTTATCATCTGGCCCAACTAGCTCTTCTTTGAGGGCCCCTACGCCCCAATTCCTGCTTTCCAAGCTGGTGGGGCTCTTCAATAAATTTCTCTGCAGTAATTGCTGAGTTGGCATGGGGCAAGGAGTTGGCACCCTAGGAGACCCCAGACCCTTCCCCTAGGCCGTCATGGGTCCTGCCTTCCTGCCCAGGGATCTGTTTTGAGGATTCTATTCATTCTTCAAGGAAGTACGGAGTCTACCCAGAGCCAAGGCCCGCGCGTGCAGGTGCCAAAGCAACAGTGGTGACACAACTGCCAGGGCCCTCCCTGCAAGGAGGCTTCGGCTTTGTGGGAAAATGCCCTTCCTGATGCTCCCCACACCCCCGTTAACTTCGGCTGTGCTCCCCGCTATATCATTGTGGGCGTGATCGTCGTTCCCATCAGCTACATGAGGAAACAGGCTCAAGGGAGTCCAGTCCCTTGCCCAAGGTCACCTGACTAGAAAGGGTAGAGTGGGGTAAAGTACACACAAAAGCAACATGGCTTGTGTTGAGTGCCTGGAGAACACACCTACAGTGCAGTAACGGAGACTGGGCAGGAGCGGGGAACAACCGCTGCAGTGCCCTGACAGGGCAGCACCCCACTGGGGGTGCACATGGAGTGGGCAGCTGTGTGGGGATAGGGAAGAGGGGAAGAATGCCGTAAGTGGCAGCACTGATGGTGCCCAGGCTGAGGAAAGGAAGGACATGGTATGTCTGAGTAAGGACCGCTGTGCTGGCATTGCTTTAGGTGTGATTTCAAACTTGGGTCAAGTAGCTCCTATTCTCATTGATGCTCCAGTCCCTGCCTTCCTCCCCCCCGACACCCCCCCCCACCCCGAATAAAAG